TGTTACACGCGTGCTTTATATCTGGCATGCACCATGTGTTTTCACTAGTATCGCAGCTTTATCTCTGCTCTGCATCCTGTGATCTTTTATTACACGTTTTTATATGTCACATAGTATTACATCTGCCCAGCATTATATGTTCTAACAGCATCACATGAATGCATTATTAGTACTCTACTTAGCAGTCTGTGAGTATGTTCTGTGTATTTTAAGTGTGTTGTTATGTGTATTATGTCTTACATTTTTATGCCACCTCCACCCCCTTTTTTTTTTTTTTTTTTTTTTTTTTTTTTTAGATTTCCTGTAACAACCACTGTATTCCTAAAACTTTCAAATGTCATACACATCACTTGTAATGTAGACTATGTCAACCGCCCTTGTATGGCCATGTAACTTTCTTATTAAGATTCAAATATACTCCCGAGGCAGCCTGATGAGGCTCCAGGGAGTTGTTGCCACTAGATAGTGGAGGACGCGGGGCATATGCCTGTTTACCTATGTTAAACATCAGGCGCCCTCGTCCTCCGTCACCTGTCACCTGTCCACGTCCTCCATCGCATGTCGCATGTCGGTACCACAGAAGACTCCCCTAACCACCATGCCGTCTGGGCCGCCCTTCGAAGTGTTCCTCATGATGGAGCTTTTGTTAAGGAGGTAGATCTCGATTTTTTTATACATGCCTTTTACGGGATTCGAACATGGATCCTTTATAGCAGTCAGCGTCACTAACCACTATCCCAGTTCGGCAGCGTAGTAATATATATTAAATTTGAAGAATACGGGCAATATATGTAGTGTCTTCTTTTTATGAAGGGAAAGGGATGCAGCAAAGAATATCTGCATTATAAGTTCACTCATATTATAATGTAAATAAGAAGTATTGAAAAGAAAAGGATATTTTTAATGTAGGAGAAGATCAGAAAAATGTATGCTCTTAAGGAATTTTACAATTCACGATAATTAAAATCACTTCAGCAACATGCAGTGATATAACTAATATTTCTAAATGCTTGACTTATAGTAACAAATCTGCTATATTAATATAGCTTTAATAAGGAACGAAAATCTGGAAAAAAGAAGTACTCAATTGCATCTAGTTTTCTACCATATGAGGGTAACGTTGCTAATAAGGAAAATTAATTATATAAGGTTTGGTTGTGTAATTGCGGCAAAGTCTCGAGGGCTATTTGCCTAAGTGAAGGGATGCCTTCGTGGATGACTTTCTAAGGAAACTTGCTCGTATACACGTTACATATGGTGAAAACACCGATGCAACCAGCCCGTTTGCGGAATTCGAACCTCGGACCGAACTACCAGTGCTCAGCGATTTTACCGCTCTGCCGCTGATAGGTTAATTATATAAGGAATTGAAAATTCTTTAACATTGTTAATCATCGATTTCTTATTTGAAATCCTTTCTTATTGCGTTAATATTTTTTTGTTTCGATTTTTCAATTCTTCGCTTATGTTTTTCAAGGTTTTTAAACGCTTGGCTGCAAGCCCAAGTTTGTACCAAAAAGCTCTCACCGCATTCGTAACTCCGGAACCAACACATTCATCTGTTACGTATTGCGGCGTTTGTTGCTCCCCATGTGCTCTATTGTAACAAATAGAAACTTTCTGTGACTTCATAATTGAACATCGTTACCTAACTTTGATTTCAAACTTATAAACTATCATAAAAAGGAAATTCAGTTACTTTCGCTTGCAAAGACAGATCAATCATTTTGAGGTGGTGTATTTAATTATGGCAAAGCACACTAGGGCTATCTGCCTAAGGGGAGGGATGCCTTCGTGTAGGACTTTCTAAGGGAAACTGGCTCGTATACACGTTACGTATGGGGAAAACCCCGAAAGCGTCCATGCAGCCAGCCCGTTCGCGGAATTCGAACCTCGGACCGAACTACCAGTGTTCAGTGACTTCACCGCTTGGCCGCTGGTGAGCCCAATCATTTTTGAGAAAACTATTCATGGACATTGTCTAGAATGAATATTATGGACTCGCCATTAAGTTCTGAAATTAATATAATAGTAACACCACGCGAGATTTAATCCATCTGATGTCTTCAAACACAGAAATAGACACTGCAGTAAAGGTTGTTACATTTCTTTTGATTTCTTAAAGGCACAGTGGTTTTCCCCATGTGTAATGTGTATACGAGCCAGTTTCCCTTAGAAAGTCCTCCACGAAGGCATCTCTCCCCTTAGGCAGATAGCCCTCGAGGCTTTCCTATAACCACACACACACACTCTTAAAACACAGAATATATCTCAACGTCCCATACCCAGCGTTATATAAAAAATGATGATCCAGACAATTTTAACGCATTTTTCTTTAATACGAGTGTGATACACATGTATATTTAATACTCAGTTTAAAAGAAAAAATCTGAAAGGTTTCGAATTTTAAATTACGTCTAAAGGGGCGTTTTTTTTAACGCTTTGCGTGTTAACTTTATTTATTAAATATCATGTTCTTCGCATTTAAACCATAAAATTCAGTTCAGCAATATCGGAAAATGGTTTTAAAATGAGCATATCTTAGAACTTCCAATACGAAGTCTCACGCGCTGGAGATAAAAATGTTTTATTCTGTACAACGTTGCCATTGCTCGCTTTGAAATCCTTGAGTTTGTTAATCCAAAATTCGTTAAAGTTTAACAAAATATGAAATCTCTACATATAATAAAAGAAAAAGTCTGTGTGGCTTCCGTTCGCGTAAGCTAATAGGCCCAGGGCTATGAAATTTAGTATATAGGTGCATATAGACAAGAGTCAGTGTACCTCCAAGCGATTTTTTCAAAGTTCGAATTAGATTGTGTTTTATTTTATCTTTTCGATTTTATTGCATCATTTTGAATAGTTTCATTCTTTTAGAAATGTGGTTTTGGCACCAGTTTTTCATCCAATTGTATACTGGACTGTTGAAAATCAGTACTGTTGCCACTTGGAAAAATGAGGGCGATAATTCTGTGCAGTTTTTTAATTTAATATTTCTCTTAGATGCTGGACTTTTGTTGAGAGAAGGCTACGGGAAGTTGGTTAATTTATTTATTAGGGTAATTAATACTTGTGTTAAGGGATATTGCTTATTTAATTGTAATTTTGTTATATGTAATACATTTTTAAATTCATGTTTTTGTTTCTTTTATGAAGTTGTTCTGCAGAGTAAAATTCTGCAGCTTTTAAATTTAACGTTTGGTGTTCACTTCAGGCATTTTTTTGGTACATTTAAAAGCCAGACGAAGGCTGGCCGTATAGCTGCTAGTAGATAATAAAACCAATTCTAAATTTATCACAATGCGAGAAACATACATATATTTATGCAGATTCTTCATTATTTAATTTCTTTAAATATAATACAGGGCGATAATATTTGGAGGCAAGAACTTAAAAAGTGAAACAACGCTTGTAGTGAATCAACGCAAAATGTCAGAATAAAATTAATAGTCATTCTGGACAAATTTTCTCTTTGGGCTAAAAATGTTTTAGCCTTTCAGTTAATATATTCTGTGAGTAAACATAAAATAAACAAAATAGAAAAATATTACGTATAATGGACTGATGCAGGGGAAATAAATACCTACGATTGCACTATGTATGCAAAATCAATCACTTCTTGCGCAGTTTTTGCACATATTTTTTATCTTAGCTTGTATGCATCTTAAAATTACGCGTGTATAATTTATTTACATAATTAGAGAGATGAGAGCTTAACACAAAAGTCTTGGGTAACTTGCGCAACAACTTTTTGATACTATGTTCTGGCTAGGTATCAGTATTAATTCAGAAACTCTGCTTAAAGCGAGAAAATTTGTATGTGAGGAAAGAAGCGCTCCTGCTAAAGTATTATAGCTCTTTTCAGATTTTAAATCGGAATAAAGTCATTGGCCCAGTCCTTTCTTGATCGGAATCTAATCATCAGAATTTTGAAGATTCTGTTATGAAAATTTCCAGGTGCACGCAAATTGGTGGTGGAGTTCCAAATAGCTCTTATTGCAAATTCGTGGTAGAAAATTAGTGTGCCTGTGTTGCAACGATCATAAGCTTTTCCTGCCAGCTTTGAAAGTTCTTTGAGGCGCTTTTTCTTTTTCTGATAATAACCAAAGCATATGTATCCTATGACCAGGTAGGATCTTTTCTTTTGTAGGCACACTGAAAATGGAAGAAAAGCAGATGCACTTTTCTTTCTTTGGATGTTTGTTCACCAGATAGAGAAACACCTTACAGTTTACGTTGTACAAGAAACAGAAGGACCCAGATGAATAATTCTGGAACCACTAGTCGGGTTGGGCAGTTTTATTTTATATTATATCTGACAGATTCATTATTCCTAATTAGTTCAATTACAACTTAAATTTCATTCTGAATAACTAAGATATATGCCTTCACGTTATTTTCAATTTAAATCAATAAATATTATTTACTTATCTAGTAGATGCATTGCGCCCGAACTAGTAACTTTTGTACTCTGTATTTGTACTTTTTACTGAGGTGCTAATTTTCTTTTTCTTTCTATAACCTTTTCACGTCAAGAGAATATTCGCGCAACATTCACTTTGATTCAACATTCACTTCGTCATTTGTTTTTTTTTTTCAAAGCCTACTAGCGGCCGAGCGGTAAAATCGCTGTACACTGGTAGTTACGACCTGGGTTCGATTATAGGCAAACGGGCAAACGTGCATGAGCGTTTTCATAGTTTTCCTCGTGTGTAACGTGTTTCCCTTAGAAAGTCCTCCACGAAACATCCCTTTCTTTAGAGAGTTAGCCCTAGTGTGCTCTGCCATAATCAACTAAACCAAATCAAACCTGTCCTTTTAAGTTGATCGTGAAAGAAATTCTTTGTGTTTTTTAATGTTTTTATTTTTGTAAGCTGCAAATATCAATAACTTTATTTTAACTTGCCGTCAATTTGATTGCCAAAATCTAAAAAACAGAGTGGTATTAGTTTAGATTTTCGTTCTAAACTATATCTTTATTTGGTGGTATAAATGGTATGTTCAGTGTGGTATGCATTTTATTTCAAGCTTATACAGCGGACATCCGAAGTTAACAAATTTACCCAAGAGGATAGAGCATCATATAGTCCATGTAATCCATGGGAAATTATAGTCCAGTTATAGTACAGGGGGTTACAGCTGACCAGTTAATAGAAGAAATCCTCGATCGTCATCTGAAAAAAAAAAGAAATCATCAGCTGAAAAAACCTTGCTCTGAAAGTGAATTAAATAATACATTTAAAAGTTAATTTATCGCTTTTTTTTTTTTTTTTTTTTTTTTTTTTTTTTTTTTTTTTTTTTTTCAAATCATAATACATCTAGAAAGAATGGAAAGGGGGACGAAGTCTCAATCATGTATCACGGAATTATGAGGAGAAAGTGATAAATCTTGCGTAACACAAACGATAAAAAAATATTTAAAAAATCTGAAAGTTTTCAGATTTTATATTACGCCCAAAGGGGCTTTTTTTTAGCGTTTTGTATGTTACCTTTATTTATCCATTATCATGTTCTTCACACTTAAAACCATAAAATTCAATTCAACAGCAATATCGCAAAATAATTTTAAAATAGCATCTCTTTAGAATTTATCGCGGCGCTGGATATTTTTTTTTCCGTACAGTGTTGCCTTTGCTCGCTTTGAAATTGTTAATTTTGTTAATCAAAAACTCATGAATTCTCTACAAAATATATTGTAGAAAATAAAACAAATTCCAAATTTGGGCTTCCAGATGCCCATATTCAGGTGGAGAAGTACGTTATTCAGAATTTGATGGCTCTAGATACCGTTGTTTTATCACAATGCGAGAAACATACATACATTCATGCGAATTCTTCATTATTTAATTTCTTTAAATATAATATAGGGCTGTAATATTCGGTGGCAACAATTTGAAAAGTGAAACGCCACAAAGTGTCAAAGCAAAATTTATAGCCTTTTTGGGCTAACAATAGTCGACTACTTTCAGTGTATTCAAAATAAAAGTAAGCAGGTGAGAAATTAACAGCACTTTCGTTTTAAAAGAAAGAAAGAACATTTTAAAGGAAATAGGTAGTATTCATGTTATCCCATAGGTAAAACCATGACACTTCCGATGCATCCAATCGGTTCACCATCAATTGAAAGGACATCCAACTCCGCATTCAGCCGTTTTACCTCTCGTCTAGCATTGTGTAAAATTTTATGATTCAATTTACGTCACAATTTTAAGTTGGTGTAAAACAGATTATTACTTCCATCATTATTTTTACTGCACTCGTCTGGGTCATATATACAATATGTAATCAAATTGATGTGGATAACTGTTTGTATGGCTCTAAAATGATTAAAATATGAGAGATCTTTTTACAGTAAACGATTTCTAGCTTTGTTGTATTTTGACCCAGTTTTTCAAGAATTAAATTTCTGTCAGTTTCTATTTAATATTTCATTTTCAATTACTGTGTATTAACAATTAAAACATATTTCTTTAGCTTTTTATAATTTCATTCACTATTTTATATTTTCAGATTGGCAACTACTATGTTCAACTCCAATCTGCATTTGACTTTCCAATCTGCATTTTGTAAATTTTTTATACTTGGAGATAGCGATGTATCAAAAAAATCTCCTTACGTTTTAAGGTTTTTAAATACCACTCTAAGAATATTAACAGTTATTTTTTTTTTACTATGTATTTCTAGAGCAGTAGATTCTACGACATATTTCTTTTAATTGAGACTTCAAGGTTGGAAGATCTTCTTTGCTGCATTGTACACTTATTGCATAGTTACGTTTTAATTAGGGTCACAACTTCCCTGAAATCTAACTATATAGTAGATTACTAAAGGTGTTAAGGCGGTAAGAATCAACATAATATGCTTAAACCTTCTTCTTCAGCTGCAGAAATGTAAATGACGAAAGAGAAGCCCGTGCTCAGGCGATAACAACGAGAGGAATGAAGTCAAGCTACTGCCGCTATCCATCAATGGAATATAGAAGCAAATATGAAAAAGATTTCCTTAAAGGCTAAGGGTAAGCATGGATTGGAATTGGAATCGTTAACTAGGCCTGAACAAGATTTTTGTGAATGTGAAATGCCTCTAAAAAATCTAATTCGTCAACGGAAGATGCCTTTTGAGTAATTTTAGTTGCTAAAAAATGGAAAATAGGATTTTCGGACCAACAGTATTGGGCAGCAGAAGATTTATATGTCTTTTTTCCTAACATATGCCTCATGTTCCTTAACGTGAATTTTTAAGTGTCTCTTAGTTTGATCAACGTTAATTAAAGCACATTGGCAAGGAATCCTATGTATATATACCCTAAGAATTTGTATTCAGAATAGGGTCTTTAAGTATGGAGCTGAGAATTTCATTGATAGAAGAGAAAATGACCACAAAGTGGAATTTCTATAAAATATGTGCAATTTTATAGCTGATCGTGAAAAGAAATTACTCAAAACAGAATTTTTTATAATCTCCTAAAACAATAAGATGCTTTTTGATGTCTTGAGATGAAAAATATTTAACCGCTTGGTTAATAATATTAGGTAAAAAGCCTTTGTCACTATCAACTGCTTTTAAGTAGTTTAGTTCTTGGTCAAGAGCCGACTGAGAGGAGTTAATTTGAAGTGCCCGGAAAATAAAGGAATAAAATGAAACTGACCTCTGTTTTAATTGAATGTTAATATCAGAAGTATATTGGACAGCAAGCAGATAACTACTGTACACAGTAGTACTGAAGTTGGATATGCTGCGTGTGTCCAAGATATCAAGGAACGGAAGGGAAGATGACAAGGACGTCTCAAATTCAAAAATTTATTGACTAACAAGATAAATGGAATTCATTATTGAAAGAACTTTAATTAAATTATCTTTATTACAAGGAATCAGAGTAAAGGTATCGTCAAAGTAGGAAAGTTTAAAATTTCAAATAATTTGTATTATAGTAATTCACATAGACATCAGCAAGGATAGGACTAAGAGGGTTTCCGATGGCTAATCCCTCAGTAGATTATACAGATTACAGAGGAAATCCGATCTTTAGGGGTTACCTATTACATTATTCTTCTTATTTTTCACTATTTGAGACAACTTATTTGATGACCTTAATAATTATAAGTGACCTAACTTCTTTTATTCAGGTAAAAAATAAAATAAACTGCGTTAAAAAAGGTTCAAGGAAAATTCTTATAGTTCAGTTTAATTTGAAATAAAAAACTGTATTGTCCGGATTCCTTCAAAATAATATCCATCGGAAAACACGCATTTGCTTCAACGTTCCTGATATTTCTGAAAGCATTGATAAAATTTCGTCTTCATTTGTATCGCTCACAGATTAATCGTTGTCGTTTCGGATAGCTTAAAATGTCTGCAAACTTTGACTCCGAAGAACCATCTTTATAAGAGAGAACATCAGTGTATGAAAATCTGGCGAATAAGCAGGAACAGTTCAAAACAGGATCAGTTCAAACAAACCCAATAATCTTTCTTCAAACATCTTTTACCAAAAATGCGACATCGCATCGAATGATTTAAAGATGCTTTAACTCCGTTTGCCTTATATCAAGAACTATACTGCCCAGAATGATGTCCTTCCCGAAATGTATTTTATACAGAGTATGCTAATCATTCTTAACAGTCAAATTCAATTATTGCCAGTTTCATAGATGTGACGTGATTTTTGCGTGATTTTACGAACAGAGCTGTATATACTACTGTATAAACTACAAATGTAGCTCACGCTACAAAAATTAAAACACAAGAGTATATAAATGTACAGTAGGAGATACAAAATCTGGAAATGAAATAAGTCAGTCTTTCGTAAAATCAGAAACGTACCTAGCAAGAACCATACAAAACTTAGTATTTTTCATAAATGTAAATCTAATAAGTGTAAAATCATAAATTTTGATATGAATACGTAAAGAATTTATCACAGGGCTTTAACCTCTAAACACTTATCAGCTATTCTGCCAACTATTATTTTAAGTTCTTAACCATTACGCCGATTTTAATGATAATGTCCTCAATTCTTCGAATATTTCAGTGGACATGTCATTTACCTTCACAGGCATAATCAGCAGTCTAATTACACTAATCTTTGAATGCTCACGTAAAAAAAGAAAGAGAGAGTCGTAGCCCAAACGCTTAGGGCTCTTGCCCCCTTTCTCTTTTCTTTCCTAACTTTGTATCTTTTTTATGAAACCCAATTTCTGAAGTACTACTCTCTTTATAATGCTGTTGTTATTGTTGTTTCCATCATCGCCTGGATTAAATTGAAGTCACCACGAAAGATCTCTTTCTAACTCACTTCCTTGTCCAGAGATTATGACCTGGTTGTTTCTATCGAGAAGACGACAGAGATCATTTCTTTTTTCTTCTATGACTTGAGCGGAAGGTAGTTGGTTCCTCTCCCAGAGGGTTTATACTTGAAAAAACTTCATTCAATTACTTCATCCAGCACACAAGCGAATTTGAAATAATATAGGTCATCAAATCTTAGAATATTTACTTTGGATGGCGTATGAGTAATGGGTAGTTTTCACGTCAGATGACACAATCAAAATGATAAATAATATGAAACAAGTAACTTCATTTGCGAACTTATATGAGAGCTTAGATTCACGAAAGGACTGACAGAGGCTATTCACACATTTTCAAATGATTTTACTTCGTTGTAAATAAAAGAAAAAAATCTTTTTTAGAATTTTTATTATTAACTGAAATTATATTTTTGAAAGTATAAATTATCGTCTGCTACTTGACAGTTTAGTTTCCATACAAAATCGCGCTTTTAAAGAAGCAGGTAGGCTATGTTTGTGTTTTTTTCAAAGAAAAATTATTCGTGTCTAGTTATTAAAAAACGTTATGAAAACCATTGTTTTTCGATATCTTAAGCTACGATAGATTATGCTGTCAACAACAAACGAAACAAAAGTCAAAATTTAACTTCAAGTTGAAAAGTTGTTCCAAACAGGAAAGAAACGGAAATGTTTCGAATGTTGCAAAAGTAAGATCTTAAATGTTAAAAATACTCCACCAACTCAAAGGACAGTTACAAAATCATAAAATGCTCAGTGGTAAATGTAAACAAAGTGATTTATGCTAAGCTGTATCTTAAAAAGGCGAAAAAATAATAATTTTTTATGAGAAAGATTTATCCCGACAAAAATAGAAAACTGTCGTCACAATAGATGAATCTCGGGTATACTTAAATGACTGCAATAAAAAGAGATCCATTTATTATCATCAAAAAGGATAAAAAAAATCTTAAAACTTGGTTTAAGGATTCTAAAGAAAATTTTTCTAAGGGACTTATGATTGTTGCTGGTTTTTCATATAACGGTAAATTAAAAATAAAGAGAGTGGAGAAAAATGTTAAAATCAACTCCACATATTATCAAACACACATTTTGTATCCAATTTTTAAATATAAAATACCTTCTCTTTACACGCCAGTGTGATCAATCAGTAGAACTGCATCAACACAAAGCGAGTAGCGACCCGTCAAAGTGAATGTCAGACAGTCAAATCCACGTCAATAGACTGGTAATTTCCTGGGAAAAAAGGAATAAGAAATATTTATCAAGGCCCTTCACTCATATCCCTATTAAATCTCTTCATCTATCACTAATGTATTTTTGCACTTTTGGACTTTTAAAATGCGGGTTGTCCAAATGTCGACCTGCAACCTCCTTAGACACTGAAAGTTGTTCGAGAGCAAGGGGATAAAATAACTCTTCCGATAATACAAAAGGCTTCATTGTCTTGGAAATTGCGATGTGTAAAGATAATGAAGAATAAGGGTTATCAAACAGAACATTACAAACATAAAAATTTTAGGTAGAATATTTTCGTAATTACAGTAAAAATCGCCTAAAAATGTGTGAACAGCCTCATAGTAAACGAACATAGACAACTTGTTGTGTCTGTAATACAGACACAAATCCCATCCCAAAATTTTATCTCTAAATATTTTTATCAAGCACCTTTATATTAATAATTAATTTATTATATTTTTTTATTTTAACTCCCTCCTTAATTTTTTAGCTTACGCGAGCACTCACCTGATTCTGCTAGGCAAGATGCAACATAGATTTGGACCTATTGACATCCAACATACTTGCAATAATCTCAGATATTCAAAATGCTAGTATTTTAAATTATCCTTAAGTTTTCGTTTTTAATCTGTTTCCATAACATGTGAAGGAATTCTCTAGCATTCCGAGTTATCTGGTTGGCAAGAAAATAATTTCGGTTTTTATTGTTAAATAAAGCTCAATTATTTCTGCACAAAAAAGCGAACTTTAATCAGTCAAATACCTTCCATTCTCTTCGATGAACTTTCACCATCTGTCTAACTTCTCCATAATTCAGCGCACTTAGCTATTCTGGTCTTTATCAGAAAAAAACTCAGCCAAATGCTATTTGAGGTCATCGTTTCGTAAGCTTTCAAATAAATGACAATAAGACGGTGCAAGGTCGGGGTTATATGGGGGATGGGACATAACTTCCCAACCGAGCTCCAATAATTTTACACATTTTGCTAAAGGTATGTGAGGCCTTGCATTGTACACGATTTCTTTGCGATTTGCCCATTCTGGCCCTTTGTCTTTGATTCCTTCCTCCAATTCCGTAAATTGTTGGTAGTAAACATTTGCGTTTATCGTTTGGTTGCTTGCGAGCGGCTCAGAATACACAACACCTTTCCAATCCCACCAGATTGACACCACGACCTTTTTCTGGTGCAATTTAGCTTCCGATATGATTTGTGCTGATTCACCATGCTTGGACCATGATCTCTTTCGATTAATGTTATTGTAGAAGATCCATTTCTCATCGCCAATCATAATAGGTTTCAAAAAAGGGTCGACAGCATTACATTTTAAATGCGTATCGCATATACTGAAATGTTGTGTTAAGTGAATTTCTTTCCATTCGTACTGAACCCAAATATCAAGCTTCTTAATGAGTCGAAGATACCCTATGTGATTTTCAGCTTCAGCTGCGTGCGATATATTTAACTTTTTTGCAAGGTTATACGATCATTCAATTCGATTAGGACATTAATTTAATTAATTCGATTCAATTAGGACATTCGACTCAATTAGGACATTAATCATCAACTTCAGACGGTCGGCCAGAACGTTGGTCATCTTCAAATGAAAATTCTCCAGATGGAAGTACTTTAAACAATTCTGACGCATGCATTCTGTTAAGCAATCAATACCATAAACTTCACATATCTCTTCCTCAGCCATTTTTTTGCCTTTATGAAACAGCCTCAGCCATTTTTTTGCCTTTATGAAAATAAAGAAGTAAAATGTCGAAATTGCTTATTTTTCCCCACCCCATGTTAAAATTGACCGTAATAAACTAACAGCTGTAAACAAAAATACACGGACTTTATTTCTATAGAAACCTAAAACTGTCAGTTGCCAAATATCAAAAATTATATATATATATATATATATATATATATATGTAATAATAAAATTCCATAGTCAAGAATACACTTAAAAATTCTAACTGCATGTTCTTTTCATTTTTAATGGCGACGGTCTCTTATTTGAAAGTACGTGGAATTAAATCCACAGCCCCGTAGTCAAGTTGTTTTTCCCGCCTTTTTCTATACATACAGTTATAGAATGTTCTGGAGATATTTAAAGCGAACTGGAACGGCTGACAAGACTGACGTCATTTCTTGGAAGCTTTGCCTTTCCAGAGGCTATAAAAGGACTCGCAAAGGAATATCGGGGTGTTTTCTTTAATGTAAAGATTCAGTAAACTTCATACAAATCGTTATTAGTAGTTCTTTTTTATTTACTCCGGAGAGCTAATTTTTGTAACTGCTATTTCTCCTGAATAATAATAAATGGATCCTGTTTTTACTTCCTTGTACGAAGTAAAAAGGAAGTATTGTAATCGCGAAAAGTTTCAGGCAACATATTTCAACGAAAATATCCATTTTGACTGCTATCCAATGCAATTTAACGATGTTTTTGAGTGATATCTATACGTAAGGACAGAATAAAATACTCTTTTCCTTCAAAAAAATTATAAAACTGCTTTAAAATTAATCCTGAAGAGAATTTTTCGTGGCGTCTGTACGAACATATGTACGTACGTGCGTATCTCGCATAACTCAAAAGCGAATAGCCTCAGAACGTTGAAAATTTGTATATAGGACTGCTATAACATGTAGACGAGCACCTCGTATTTTGGTCGCAATCGGCCGCACCAAACGTATATAAATATATTTATATATATATCCACTCTGTTACCTGGCTCAGTGATCTCAGTTTCTTTACTCTTATATGTTGGTAAATTGTACATATTTTGCTTTAAAAATGATTGAATTATGTTGTTTTTATCTTCCGGTTAAGGATTTTATGCCTTTAGTAAATCTGTGTGCAATATTTTTAGAATTATCAGCAATTTAAAAGTTGTTTAATTGCCGCTAAGCCTTTTTTAATGGCGGCCATTGATGTTTACATTTGAAACAGGAGACTAGTGGATTTGCTACCAATCTAGAGAAACTTAGCTTCGCAACAACAAAGATAACGCCTTCATTTATTATTTAAATCACACTTAATCCTTTCTGGAATTTTTTCGAGGAAATAAGCGTTTAAAATTTACTTCGTAATTTTTAATATAGATATGAGTTTTTATGTATTTTTGCCTTCTCGCGAAGTGAGAACTGAATTAATTGAATGAGAAATACTCAATCATCTGTGAAAAAGTGTTTCTTTTTTGTTTTGCTTGCTTAATTTCTTTTATACGTTGTTCTAGATATATTAGAGTATTTGAATAGAACATGTGGCAACGATTAGATAATTCTATTCTTTAAATGATATAAATTTTGTGCATTATGACTTATAATATGAACGAAATTTATAAGTTAACTGTTATATAATTATTGGATTATATAACAGTTAACTTAGTTTCCGTTATAAAATTATTATATAAGTTAACTGTTATATAATTATTAATACTGTTAAGTGAATCTAGCGCCAGAGTGTCGCTATGGTAAACAAATACTAGAGTGAATTTTAAAGAATGCATTTATTCTATTGTGGTTTATGCGCTGTCGGCGAAGTAGATTTAATTCAATCCAATAAGTTTAAATGAAATGCAAGAAAAAATGCGTATAATTTAATATTCCAATTTAATATTCCTATACAAGGAAGTCATGTGGTGTACACATCAAATTTTTTAAACTTATCGTTTGATACTTTGAGCTACAACTACATCTATGATTCTTCACCAATCTATTTATTCCGGACAAAAGCTGGTACATCATATATATATATATATATATATATATATATATATGTATGTATGTATATGTGGGATTTTAAATCCATAGCTTAATATTTTTCCTCGCGCGTTGTTTAATTTTTAGCTGCTGACTGCACGAGTGAAATTGATAGAACTCTCGCCACTTTGTTTTACGAGAGGAGATGCAAGGTGATATAGATGTAGTATTAAGTCTTCTTTTGTCAGTCTTATATATATATAAAACTGACAAAAGAATAACGAAACGAGCATAAACTCTATCTATTTGTGCAAGCCTAAAATACTCTCTTGCCAACCCAATAGATTCTCTGCGGCTGTGTTCAGATCTACCCACTCTTAATATGCAGCATACACTGTTACAATCTGTTATTTAGGGATTTGGCGACAAAAACTATTTCAAACAAGTTTTGTGACACTTAATTACATTACTTACGTTTAAACCTTTTTTTTTTTTTTTATATATTGTTAGTCTTGTAAATTTATTTAAGATGTTTGAATACTAAGAAAGTTCGAACAACTGTTCAAAAATGACCAAAAAAATTCAAAATGTGTAATGAATGATTATAGTTACGATGCTTTTGTAGAAAGTACTTTTTTCAAAGAAACTCTTTGTAAAGATCACAGCGATTTATCACTGCATACAGCTGACAATTCAAAACTACGAGGAAGTCCAACCTAATTCATTAAACCTTCTTTTTATAACCTAATTAAATACAGAAGCTAATTAGTGTAAGTTTTCGGAAAATGGCCCACGGGATATCTAGTAAAATTAATTTATACAAACGGCACAGATATTCGAAAAACAGAATTGAAAAAATAAATAAATAAATAAATAATGAAACGGAATTAAGCTGAAACTATTATAGTGCTATCGGAATATTATAATCCCAATTCCAATTTTGTTTTAGTACGTACATATGGATAAACTTTTATTACTCACGAAGGTAAAATATCGTTCAGTAGTTAAAGGCTGAAAAAGGGTAATTTCGAATAAATTTAAGATAAAGTACATTTTACAGAAAAGCGCCGTCTAATTTTCTAAAAACATTAACACTGAGCCTTCCAAACAGTACAGTGGTTAAGGGAGGATACTGCGGAACCGAAGGGCCCGGGTTCGAATTCCGCAGAAAGCACAGATGTTCGTAAATGTATTGTGTCAGTGCGACATGAGGGCACTCTAGATATACGGCGAGTCGAAAGTCGTGAGGTTGCTAGTAGGATAGGAGGAGTGGTAGACTCTCGGACCCGTTCCTGCAGG